TCAGGTCCCTCCTGCACCCGATATCGATGCAGTCAATGCCGTGAAACTTGAGACTGAGAGACTGTTCACCCGATTCCTCTCGGGCCTCGACTGCTTCGCGGGCAAAGTTATAGTCGGGTTTAGCTGCCTTCAACATTTGCCTGCAACAAAATGGATTCTATCAGTTTTGATCAGTGAACCTGTGACCAGTAATACGAGCTTACAGACGTGCTAAGTTTAACTGACTCTGTCATCTCGATTAGTTTCAAAATATCAGCTAATTTAATATAGAAAAAAAGTAGGCTTCTCGAAATTTTTACGGCGACAAATTTATACATAACTCCGAGACAAAAAGTCCATTTCAGATCATAATCATAATATTTAACTAGAATTGAGTGGAATGACAACGGATTCAATAGGCAAGCGTGCCTTTCGATAGCAATACAGTAAGTTAGGCTGGAGATGAATCCCTGAACGAGAAGCAATGTTTCATGACTTGCAGTAACCAAAATTTCCCCTTGATAGTTGCGCATGAGATCTTAAACCGGATGAAAATGTAAATACATTAAATTTTGACGTTTTATCTGTTCCTTACCTCCAATATTTATCCAAAATTAACCGAATTCGGGTCGTGTGCACTGCACCACACGTACATTCTAGGTACTTCCCGGCCACACCACTTTATAGAGCGGAGACTAGTTAGACTACTGCGCATGCGCTGCAGTGTTCGCTGTCGCGCATGCGCAGTAGCCTGGCAGTTACCGTTTATGATCATTTAATATTTCTATTATTTTGTAAATTTATATTATATTTACTTTCAGATTATATACTGATTTCGCGTTTTTCATCGAATTTATGTCAATACACTGAATACACACAATACTGGATGGAACTAGTACCACAAATACTGGCGACATGGATTCGCTGTAGTATAGAATAGAATAGAACTGTCGAAAAAAATGTAGGAAATAAGAAATCATGTAAACCTCATAATTTTAGAGAAATTAAATAACTGAATAATTCAATCAGTTTCTTCCGGTAAAAGCTCCATGCTGAGATTCATGCCTAGAAGGTTCTTTCGATAATCCTCCGCCTTCCTCACCCATCACCCCCTTGCTCTCCCTGCCTCATCAACGCTTGAACCGTTACCGCCGGCATATTCGACGTAGGCCGCCGCAGAGGTGCGGCCAGTTGCCTGCCGCAGCATTTGCCGACCGAGGCCTCGCGCTGTTCGTGGCAGATGAGGCCATATCGTCGCTAGACTGCTAGGACGCGAGGTGAAGTCGGCAACAACGGCCTAGATTTGCGCGTTTGCGAACGTCTCTGCGGCGAACGGCCGCAATGACTGCGAGAATTTCGAACTGGGTCTATTGTTTTCTGCTCAGAAGAGAAAAAAAATGTTCATGTCATAAAACTAACACTGACATCAGTACCACTAGTTATACCATAGACCATTGAATGGAGTAATTCAACTGACTCAATAGACACCAGTAACGCTAATGGCGTCAGCGAAACATGTGATTCATTTTCAAAACTAGCGACAAATAATAGTAATGATTTTTACCTCCATTCATTCAACTGTCATCCTTCATTCATTCGTCTTGCTGAAGGTGATAGTTTCGGACTTTTCAATTGCTTGAGTGAGAAACGAATCATGCCACTAAGGTTGTCGCTCACAAACTAGCGGCGGAAGATATATATTAGACGTTTCGGCCCTTTAAACTTACAGACCTCTTACCTTCCAACCCCCAGCCCCTTCACTTGTAGCTGGAGTTCCGCCCACATCTTCCAACATCTTAATTTTGAAAGGTTCATAAACAACTAAATAACTAAAAAAGAAAATTTTGACATGAATACCCATGGGAGAAAAAAATCTTTCTAGAATGATTTGACTTACATTGATTATTATCAAATGCCTACATTTTTTCCGTTCGCATCTTCAGTGGTTTTCTGTGATTGTGTCCATGCTTTCGCACACGCGCACACTCGCACAAATGGCGAAGAGGGAACTTGGGATAAAAATGAATGCGAGGGTTACGCTGCTCACAAAATAGGCCGCTTCAATCCATTCAGCCCTATCAAAAGTAACGTTTTAAGTGACGTCATCGCAGGACACCGCAGACGTGTGACACTCACAGCTCTTGTTGCTTTGCAGAGCACGAGCAGTTGCTGTATGCTGCTGCTGCTCCTGGTAGCTGCGGCACCCACAGCTGCTGGTGAACAAACTTCTGCAGGAGCAGGTGAGTCTGAGTCTTCAAATGAGCTTCCTTGTGGTTAACATGAATTGAATTCAAATAACAGACATTACATTGCTCTGACCTTTGCTTTCTCGGCATACTATTTTTACCCCGTAATAGCATTTTTATTTTCGGTAATCCATAGGTAACCGCATTACATTCCCCAGGGAATCTCTTCCCCCACTACCCTCATTCAATAAAATCTCATTAAAACTAAACACACAGTCAGGGATGAGCTCATATGCAGCCCGCCTAATAACCCGAATGCTAATAACCAATGAAGACGCCCCAAAGTCCATCCTTCCTTCGAGATAAATCAAATTGTCCGAGAAAATTAATTAAATTAAGTATCAATAAATACACAATAATGAATCTCAACAATGAAGCGACATCATTGGATACACAAAAATGAAGTAGAACAATTACTTCGTGACCCCAGAAGACTGAATACACTCATTAAAATTTTTATATATGATCTGAAAATTCTTAACTTAATTACTGGTGATTGCAGAAGTGTGCCGCTCTGGTCATTTCCTGTGCGCCCACAACGGTCACTGCATATACGAGAAGTGGCGGTGCAACGGAGACAACCAATGCGGCTACGGCGACGACAGCGACGAGCGCGACTGTGAGTAGCCCGATGAGTCAAACCATACAGCGTAATTCTACTGTTTTTTTATTTCTAAATAATATGAGGATCTGCTTTTGCTCTTAAGATTCAATTATTCTCTCAAATTTAAATGAATTATTCCTCAAATTTATTCAATTATAAAGTTTCTCTATCGAATTATTTTCAATTTTTTGCAATCATGCTGCCCAGTTAAAATTTAGGGCAGGGAATAGAGCAGGCCGTCGCCGGCTGCAGAGCCGGCGTAGAGACGCGACAGAGCAGCGATAGAGCAGAAATGTCCGCTTTAGAGACGATATCGCCAGCCGCGTATCAGCGCTAATTAGCTTCTGAGTACCTGCCCAGTTGTGCTCTGCCCTGCCGTCACGCAGCCCTTACTGAGCACCGCCTGCTCAAACCTGCCCAACGCCTGCTCTGGGGCGGCTCTGGCAGTGTACGCGGCAGTTACGCGTCACCGTTTGTCAACAACGATTTAAAAAAATTTGTTCCTTCTCTCCCTGAGCTCACCTAGACTTCTCTTTTGCAATGACAGGTTGTATTGACATTGGTTACTGACATTCTCATCGTATTGACATTAGCAACGTAATTTAGAATCGAACAAATTCAAATATCGAGGAAATATATACATCAAATTACTCACCGCTATGAACTATCTGCAAACGTCGACTGAAGCTCCGGGATTCGAACGCAGGTTCTCCGCGTCTTAGTTCAAGCCTGTACCAGTTGACCGCGCGGACACCTTACCAGCCTAGGCTCTATGAACTACTTAACTATAATACGGAACAAATGACTCGCCATGATCGGGGAATAGCTATATATGTGGTTGAACTTGATAGATATTATTGATAATGCACTAATTTTAAAAAATCAACAAAGTAACCATTCGTATGATCCCGTCAGTTAGATGTAAGTGAGTATTAGAGCTAAATTTGTTTAGTAATTTATCTTATTGCATTAGCTTCATATCATTCGATAGTTTGATAGGAAAATTAACAACGTACGCAAATCATTAGTCTACTGAAATCGCAAGTTCTCCAAGAGTTTTAATGCAAAGAAAGCGCCAAATAAATTCACCATATCTTCAATGAAAACGTTTCGGAGACCTCGGTATTTTCTTTGCTCTAACATTTACTGTTACTAACGCGTTTTCTGTATATCCATGTTAGAAAACTTTCTCATGATAAACTGATTGAGATCTCGCTTTAGCAAAGCGTGAATGACCTTCAACGTTTCTGTTAGAGTGTTAAAACTGGACGAGCATATAAAATTCTTACGTAATTCGAAGTATTAAAATACTGACGTGAAATAAATATCACAAATGGCACCGGAAATTGGCCCAAAATATCGTGCTATGCGAATGAACTAGATGGAGGATGAAGTTCATTCTCTCGTCACTGTTTCCAACCCCTACCCCTCCTCCCTCTCTCAAAACCCCCCCATATACGGCCTGCTAGCTGCTCTGCACAGCTCCCTGCCGGACAATCCCAAGTACCAGCGCTAAAACAGCGCAGAGTTCCGGCCCTGCCGAGCTGCTAGAATTTTGTCTCTATATCAGCCATGGCGCAGCGCAGTTTTAGGGATAGATGGCTGGTTATTGTTTCACGGCTCCATCCTGCTAAAGCGCGACCAGCCCGGCTAAACCCGGCGCCGGTCTCGGCTCAAAATTTTAACTGGGTGTGACTAAACTCGAGTTATCGAGTTTAACCTCTTCTGGGGCCTAAATCTTCTTTCCACAGGAAGTTTTCGACACGCTAAACCAATTTCATATTGAGACTTAAACCTTACCTCTGATGCGATGTTATAAACAATACATACATTACATTCTTATCTCTACACATTCTTCCTCCCCTCGCGTTCAGGAAGCCCGATCACCCTGCATAAAATATCTATGTAGAAGTTAAAGAGGCGTTCTGAGGTGGAGCAGGGTTCACTGAGAGATTTTTATGACCCACTTTTGACTAAAAAAAGGAAATTATGAATTTTCATTAAACTGAAGAAATCTGATTAGTCTGATATTTTGCTAAAATGACAGAATAGTGACAACAGGAAAGGTTCACCTAAAAATTGCCACCGTTTACCCGGCTTGAATGTTTTCCAATTAATTAGCCTAACTTTCACGGCTTTTTTGGTTCATCGCAGGCTGCACCGGCGACCACTTTGAGTGTGGCGACGGCAGATGCATCCACAATCGTTGGGAATGCGACGGCAGGAACAACAACTGCGGGGACTGGAGTGATGAGAAGCATTGTGAGTACACGGCTGATGTAACGAGTCAGTAAGTGCGTGTGTCATCACATCATGAGTAGGCGTAAAATAAAATTCATATACTGGATAACAACATTCAGCAGCAGCAAACAGCTTCCACCAATACACTACAGCAGAACAAGCAGTGTCAATCAGCTTCCAGCAGCAAGCAGCATTTAGCAGCATCCAGCAGAAGTTATCGGTTGCGGCGTCATGCAACAACAGCATTCATCAGCTTCCGTCAGAAGCGTCCAGCAACAGCAAGCTGTAGCATTCATCAGTATACAGAAGCATTCAAGAGCATCCAGCAGCAGCACCACTCAGCATTCAGAAGCAGCATCAAGCAGCAGAACAAAGCAGTATCCTACAGCTGCATGCAGCAGCAGGAGTAAGTGAAGTAGATTTAAGTAGCTGCACAAAACTGTAGCATAAATCAGCAGCAGCATCCAAAAGTTGCAGAAGTTTCAAGCAGCAGCAGCAGCAGCAAGATGCATCCAAAATCGGCATTCAGTAGCTGCACCCTCCAGCAGGAACAAACATCACTCAGTAGAATCCTCCAGACGCAGCAAGAAGAATCCAGCAACCGCAAAAACAGCATTCTGCAGGAGCAACAGCAGCTAGTAGCAGCAGCAAGCACCATTCAGCAACAGAAGAAAACATCATATTACAGCAGCGGCCTCATCCAGCAGCAACAACATCCAATCACAGCAGCAAGCAGCATACAGCAGCAGCAAAAAACAGCAATCTGCATCAGCAAAAGCTTACAATAGCATCAGCAATCAGTATCCGGTGGTAGTTTTCAGCAGTAGAAGCATCCAGTGGCAGCATCAAGCAGCAGTCAGTATCCAACAGCCGCAGGCAGCATGTAGCTGCTGTGGGTCCATGTCAGTATCATGAATACATATTACATAACTACTCAGCGCGGGTGAGTTGTTCACTTCACGAGTCAGCGTGAGAAGAGAGTTTCTATCCTGGGTCAATAATTATTGGCCATTCAAATTTATATCACTTGTTACTCAAGGATTTTACGGACTTTTTGCGTTAATTTGAATACCAGGTTCTGACAACGGATTTTATTGCCGGTTTGATCATCACCTTCTTGCAATGATCTACTGGTGCCACAATGCGACAATGCCAATAGATCATTGACCGTCTTGCAATGATTTGCTGGCAAAACAATGAGAACATAGATGCCGGTAGATCATTGCAATAAGATCTATGATCTACTCGTCAACAATGATCTACCGGCATCGTCGTATTTTGTTGCTGGTCGATAATTGCAGGAAGGTTAATGATCCCCATTACCAACGGCATCACGTGTTCCATTAGCAATGACGTCACGTACCTATCATGGACATCGCATGCCCAATTAACATAGTCATCACGTGTCCAATTAGCAATATAATCACGTACCTAATTGGTGTCGACACTACGTGCCCCATTAGCAGTGATATCACACGCCTTATTTGCTAAGGCATCTGATACTTCATCATAAGTGGCTGGTTGCACCGTCGAAGCAGTGGTGCAATTTTCTTAGTAGTCCCCTCGTAACACACGCTGTATTCCTTTTGTTATCTCTTACCCTGTTTCAATAAAATCCTCCGATACAAAACATTGAATATGTGATAATTTCAGCTCTAGCCCGCCCAATGAACAACTGGCTTACACTTAATTCTTCCAATTTCCCTGTATTTTTTCATGTATAAGCTTTTGTCACCGAAATTTGCACGAGCGCATAAAAATATCTTGAAATAATAAAATCTACATTGTTTTGACATCAGGAAGTTTGATTTTAAAATCATTTTTCAATTGTCATATAAACCAAGACTCAAGAACATAATTGAACTGAACATTCGGACGAGGCACTATCCGGTAAGGAAGATTGATCAATTACCATAAAATACATGTTAATATAGCCGAGCGATTGTTTCGTGATCTCAAAGATTTAAATCTCATATTCACCCCTTCTCAATTACCGTCTGAACATAATTTTCCGAATTAATTTTGATTTGCAGGCGTGTGCCACTCAGGTCAGTTCAAGTGCGCAATCACCGGCCTCTGCATTGACAAGGCGCTTTGGTGCAACGGAGGCAAGAGCTGTGGCGACGCCGACGACAGCGACGAGAGCGACTGTGAGTTGCTGAGAGTCGAGCGCTTCCGCGCAATTCTACTGTCTTGTAGTTCTGATATTAGAAACTGCTTATGCTCTTATAATCCATTATGTATATAAATTTAAATGAATTATTCCTCGCCTGCGTACAACCATAACGTTTCAATACCGAATTATTTTCTATGCTTTACAATCATGCTTTGACTAAATCCGAGTTGTCGAGTTCAACCTCTTCTGGTGCCTAGATTAAATAATCAAAGATTTTTCGCAAAAACTGCACATGTTTCCTCCAACCCGGATACTCATATTATAAACATCATATACATCACATTCTTCCCTCTTCATATTCCTCATGTTTTAATGCCTCTCGGACATAAGACCCGATCACCCTCAATGTAACATATATGTGGAGATGAAGGAGGCGTTCTGAGGAGGAATGGTTCACGGAGTAGGTTATATGACTTCCTTTCTACTCAAAAAATAATATTACATTTTTTTAGTTGATTTAGTCTGACCATATTTTACTGAATTTAGGTCAAAAAATATATCCACTAGGACTTTAACATTACCGCAACTCTTTCGTTTTGGGTTATTTCCTATCAGTTAGCCTGACTTCCACGGCTTCTTTGGTTCATCGCAGGCTGCACCGGCGACCACTTCGTATGTGGCAACGGCAGATGCATCCAGAAGCGTTGGGAATGCGATGGCTTGTACAACAACTGCTGGGACTGGAGTGATGAGAAGCATTGTGAGTACACGGCTGATGTGATGAGTCAGTAAGTGTGTGTGCCATCACATCATTAGTCGGCGTAGGTATTAAATCAAAATGATGGCCAAGTGGTTCATTGAGTCTCATATGGCATGTCACAAGGAAAATCCTTTACAACAACTCTCATTACTGCTTTGACTTACAACCTGAGTTAGTCTGCATACCATGTTTCCAAGATGAGTGTGATTTCAATTTTCATTTAATAAGTTTAAACAATGTTCATATCATTAGTTGGGTCTTGCCGTTAAAATTGATCACAATCAGCTCTAATATGAATGGAAACCTGCAAGTGTGATGTGAGAGTTGAGGGTGCGTTTGGTATTCAGTGCCGTGGCTTCTTGTTGAATTTACATCGGGCGAGAAAAGTGAAGTATTTATTTTCATGATTCTTTTTAGCGCATTTTCTCATTCATGGAAAAAGATGATATTGTGCTTACCCAAGTTATTTTTCTTTCTCGTGAGGCGATTGCTGGCACAACTTGTGGCATGGAACCTTAATTTGTTATCAATAACTTATCAGAGATCTTTATTGGTAATCAATTTACAAACCACATTATCATACCATACCATGCAACAAATTCGAGCATTAAATTGCCCTGATCATGGCTTTCTCGTCATAACTGGCTATTCCTTCGCAACTGCATTATTATTTTCGGTAATCCATACGTAACCGCACTATATTCCCCTAGGCAGCTCTTCCGCACTCCCCTCATTCCATAAAATCTCATTAAAACAACAGACTCCTTCAGTGATGAGCTCATATGCAGCCCGCCTAATAACCTAAACGCTAATAACCGATAAAAACGCTCCAAAGTCTTAATCCTTACTTCGAGATAAGTAAATTTTCTCGAGAAAATTAATTAAAGTAATAACATCATTGAATACAATTAATGGAACGAAACAATTACTTCATGATCACAAAAGACTGAATGCACGCATTAAAACTTTTTAATAAGAATCTGAAAATTAATTACCGAATTTCTCTTGATTGCAGGCGCGTGCCGCCCCGATAAGTTCAAGTGTGCCAACACCGGCCGCTGCATAGACAAGAGGAGGCGGTGCGACGGAGACAACCAATGCGGCTACGGCGACCACAGCGACGAGCACGACTGTGAGTAGACTGATGAGTCAAACGCTTCAGCGCGATTTTACTGTCTTTCATTTAGAGTTTAATATAAAGATCTGCTTCTGCTCTGAATTTCCAATTATTTTATCTAATTTAAATGAATTATTCCTCGACTGCGTTCAATTATAATGTTTCACTATTGAATTATTTCATTGTGTCGCAAGCATGCTATGGCTAAAGTCGAGTTGTCGAGTTTAACCACTTCTAGGGCATGGATTTTCTTTCCTCAGTTTTGAACCCGCTGAACCCATTACAGGTTGAGACTTTTCTATCACCTTTGTTAGTCCCCTCGTAACACATGCATCACATTCTTACATCTACACATTCTTCCTCGCCTCGCGTTCACGAAGCCCGATCGCATTGCTTAAAATATTTATGTGGAGATTAATGAGACGTTTTGAGGAGGATGGTTCAGGAAGAAACTTTTTTAACCCATTCATGACTCAAAAAAAAAATTTTGAATTTTCATTAAATTTAATTAGTCTGACTAGTCTGATATTTTGCTAAAAATTACGGAATAAAGATATCAAAAAATATCAACACAAGGATTTGAAAATCACCACAGCTTACCCAACTTGAATGTTTTCCAATTACTTGCCCGACAATCACGGTTTCTTTGATATATCGCAGGCTGCACCGGCAACCACTTCGAGTGCGGCAACGGCAGATGCATCCAGATGCTTTTGGAATGCGACGGCGATAACCACTGCGGGTACTGGAGTGATGAGAAGCATTGTGAGTACACGGCTGATGTAATGAGTCAGTAAGTGTGTGTGTGTGTGTCATCAAATTCATGTAATGGGCCAATCAGTGAGCAAATCAGATTCATATCACTAGGCACCGGGAGATCCCTTTCCAAAACTAACATTACTGTTTTAACTCATATTACGAGCTCGTTTGCATACCATGTCCACACCATATGGAGAGTAATTCTGAGTTCAGGTAGACAAATTCGGCCGAATATTCACTACACTCGTGGCAAAGTTACTCTGGGCCTA